GCTTGTATTTTTCTTGGGTCTAATCTTTTGTTTAGATTTTGATTTTTTTTGGATCATTTTTTTATCTTTTTTTGTTTTGTGTTTAACTGTTTTGAGATTTATTGATCTGATTTGCGTCGCATAAATAGTTTAATCAATTTTTAACTGTCTTTGACTGTTTTTAACAGTTTTTAACTGTTTTCAACAGCTTTTGACTGTTTTTTACTGATATTTGACAGTTTTTCGTCAATAATCTGATTTCTCATCAGTTTTGTGTGTTTCTATTTTTCTGTTTGAGCTTAATTGTTTTTGATTTCTTTTGTTTGATTTCATCGCATTAGATCCTCTAATTGATCAATCTTATTTTTTAATGGCAGATATCCTAGAGAAGGAGAATCAAGAGATGAGAGCTTAGATTTGCAAGCTGGAAAAGAGCATAGAGAACTATAAAGAGAAATATATTAATATGTTCTACGAGAATCATGATAATGTGGAACTTATTGCTAATCTACATCAAGATCATAAAGTAGCATTGGAAAAAGTTGAGAATGATTTCATGGATAAAATTAATAAACTTGAGAACACTCTGAGTTCAGTAAAAAAACTATGATGATGATTTGAGAATTTGGAGTAAAGCTAATAAAGACATGTTCAATAAACTTCAAGAGCTAAAAACTGAAAGGAATTCTTTTGGGAGAAATAGTAAAGAGTCAGAGGTTTTAACTGATAAATCTGAAAGTGACATGGTTGAACTAAGAAAGCTTCTAAACATAGAGAAAGAAAAGGTTTAGAAATGGAGAAGAATTTTAATGCTGAAAGGAATAAATTTGAGAAAGAGAAGAGGAGATGTATTGAATTTGAAAGAAAATTTGGAGCTGAACGCATATATTTTGAAGATAAGATAAACTCTCTTGAACTGAATGCTAAAATGCTATTAATGCAAATCTCGGATTTTGAGCAGCTGATCATCTTGGAACGAGCCAAGAATGATAAAATAGAAAGAAATCTCCGAAGACTGTTAGAGTCAATTACAGAAATTGTCTGAAAGCATTGATCTAAAGCAGAATGCTTTAGCCTAAGAGAAGAAGCAATTTGCTCTTGAGAAAAGAAATACTTCAAAGAAGTATACATCAATTGCTAAAGAGCTTGCAAATAAGAAAAAGTGGTTTGACATCGCCTCGGAGAATGATAAAAGCAGCTCAGATGAAGAGAAATGAGAGTTAATAAATCAGAAGAGAAAGTTTGAAATGCTTCAGAAGGAGTTAGAAGGTAAACTCCTGGACACTACAAGCAAATTGTCTGATCTAAAGACAGACCTTGAAACTGAGATGAAAATGAGAACTGAACTTAAAATTAAATTTGATTTAGTTACTGCTGAAAGAGACCAGCTTTTACAAAAATTCAAAGATTTTTCATGTGCTAAAAGCCCAACTGGTTCTCAATACAGTGTAAAACTAGCTTTTATGACTGTTCTAGTGTTAAATCTAACAGTTATTATAGCAGTCCTAAACCAACTGTTTCTAAGAACAATTCTCGTTCTTCAAATCACTATTATCAAAGGTATGTCATTGGATCACCCAATTATCATTCAAAAGGTAAAAGCATTTGGGTTAATAAAGCTGATTCTGTTTTATCTCATACACCTGTTGTTACTAACTCTGTTCTTCCTTGCATTGTAAGATCCACTAATGATTTGATCAATCTTAGCAAGAGAAGAATTATGTGCTCAACATGCAGAACCAATAATTTTGTCAATAACAAAAGGTTCAACAAGTGGCATGGAGATAACAGCTATCAGAACAGTTGGAAAGGTAAGAACATGTATGATCACAATTACTGGTACGGATCATATTTTATTCCTGACCATCCTGTTCACAGTGCTAAAAAGAATACATCAAATAGGAATAGATGGTTTAGAAATTACAACATACCCCAACCCGATACTAACAAAATAAGACCCAAATTCATTTGGGTACCAAAATCTACTTAATCTGGTTTTGTAGGTGTGTCAATTTTGTGCTAATCAGAATATCATTTCAGTGATATACCAATGCAGGGGGAGTTGTAATTTTTTCCAAATAAGACTTCTGAACAATTCAGTTCAGGACCTGTGCTTTACCGAGTGTGGTTTCTAAACACACAGTTTAGGACCCGTGCTAAACACGTTTTTCTTATTTGTTTTTAATTTTTTGAGCTGAATCGAATCATTTCTATAATCTACTTTCTAGGGGGAGTCTCTAGAAAGTTCAATAAATCCTTTTCGGAAAATAAATTTTTTGTTGGGAAACGAGTACATTATCTAAACAGGTATTTCCTGAGACTTTACTTGTGTAAATTCTCGTCGTACATAACTCCAATACCTGTTTCAGCTATTCTTCAAACTRTTATTATCACGTCTCTTATACGAAAATCATTTTCGGTGATAATACGCTCGTTTGTATTCAAGTTTGTTTTCTGATATTGTTTTTCGTTGATTGATATACATTCAATATTTTTTTTTAATATCAGAATCTGTAAACTCGTTCTTACAGATCTTCATTCATTTCTCTCGCATACTGAATAATCTGTTCGTTGTCGCATCATTCCTTATTGACTGTGCTTATAGCAAAAAAATTTTGATCAATTTTATCTGATCTTTGTGTTTTATATGCAATATTATTTTTGATCAACTTTTGTGATCAAATGTGCATAACTATAAATTTTTAGGAGGGACTAAGTGCTTATCAGAAATATCTCAATGGAATGTCAGAACCGACAAACCTACCCATGAGAACAACCATATCTGAGTGAGCTTTAAATCAAAAAGGGTTTGTGTGCCGAGATTAAAATGAAAATGAGAGGGGTAGTTGTTGTGAGCTAAAAGAATTGAAGAGAGTTGTGTCAAGATTAAAAGAATACGAGAATCCTGTTCCAAACTTCTAAAATCCGGGCATGCCACACAATCTATTAGTTCTCAATTCTTTGGAGACTAATATTGAAAAAGACAAAGCCCAGGCCAATTCTTGTCACAACCCCACCAGCTACTCATTTATCTCTCAATAGATAAATGTTTCAATAACACTTGGGGCACGCAGCTCATCATCTATCAATTTCTCATTCGGAGAAAGTTGATATTGAATCAGAAGGTTATATGTCCCCCCCCCCCTCAAGTCTTTTTGATCACATATTGAGTCTGATAAATTTGTGTAGTCCACACGGTTTATCTTTTTGAGCCTAAATAGAAGCATATGTTGTTTTATCTTTCTACACTACACAGATTGCATTTTATACGTTATTTTGCCAAAACATTCATAGATATGCTTTTATTAAGTTATCGATAATTGAATGAAAGACCTGGTGAGATGAGCCTCATAAAGTCTCATATATACAGTACATTCGTTGTACTGAGTATATCTGTTATACTCACAGGCCAATCTTTTTATAAGATTGAAAACAATTTCATTCGTTGAAATTGGTTGTTACCTTCCCATTCCCTTAATCTGAAAAGATTAAATAAGTGGATTTGCAAAGATCTACTTACAATTTTATGAATTGACGGCTTACGCGGAGGATTTCATTCATTTTTGTGTATGATGGAATGATTCTCATTTCATCATAAGGGGGAGTATGWAATAATGAATGAAATGTCTAATTCCAAACATTTTAAAGGGAATCTGATGTAAAGATCAAGGGGGAGTAACTTTAAAGATGGCTAAAGACTCAAAAGGAATGCGACTGGAGATGATTACAAAAGATTATTCCTATGTGCTAAAACGTCTGAGAGTTTTTTGAATGAGAAGATCAATGTTTCAAAAGTTTACCAACAGAGTTTTTCTTTTCAAAGAGGAAGTTTGTGACTTATTGTCTGAAGATTATTTGAAGATCATATCTTGTACAATTGTTTCTGAAGATTGTTATTGTTTCTGATCTATATTGTCAAAAGAGAAGATCATCGCTGTTCTACATTCGTGGGGGAGAATGTTAGAAGATCTTTTCTCAACTAATGATCGTCTGAAGTTTTCAAGTTGAAGTTTGTTTTTGAAGAAGACATAGTGTGCAACGAGACTTAAAGCACGGAAATTCTTTCAAGTCTGAATACAAAGGGGGAGAATGTTAGGACTGAAAGTCAGTGTAATACTGTATTCGTCTTGAAAGTTTATTTTGTCTATAATTGTAGAAAAGTCATCGTGTTTGACTTTTCTTAGATAGTTTGACTTTGACCATTTGTGTAATGTTTGACCCTATAAATARGGTGAAGTCTTGTAATCTTTGCAAGAGCTCATTTGTTAAATTCATTATACGTATGAAGGTTTGACTAGTTGGACTTTTTCTCTCTTCATCTCCTTAATGTTCTTGAATGATAAATCAGATCTGCCATGAATCTATGAAGATTTATCTTGAAGATTGATTAAATTGGACTCACAGACACTATTTTCGAGTGGGATGTACTAGTTTTGTTTAATATTTTTTTTTGTATATAGGAAGGCGCTTTGTGGCTTGATTCTTCGAAGAACTGGACATGAAGCGCTATGCTAGGGAATGAGTAATTTATTGAAGTAGACCATAAAGTATAGTAAAACTAGGGAGAGGAAATCATGATATCAAGTTTAACAATGGTTATTAAAATGGTGTATTGTGTATTTTACAAGATGTATATTGTCATTTTAAATCAATCATTAGTTTTTGCTTATTAGTAGGGTACTCAAAAACCCAACTAACCTGGTCAACCCAATTCAACCAAAGTGAAATAACCGAACCCGAAGCAAATGTTTTTTGAAAGGAAAACCAGACAAATATATAAACCACAGAACAAAAGTACAAGAGTCAGGCAAAAAGCCACAACCAAAGCCAAACGGCAAACCAAAGCCAACCGAAGCAAATATTCGTATTCAAGTAGTGCAAAATAGGGAATAGTAAGCAATGAAGGCAAAGAAGTACGATTCGATAGTCATGTTGTCCGATAAGAATCAAACTAAATTCATGACTTATTTAGGCTTAAAATATAATTGATAGAGAAACATGAAGAGCTAGCTAGCTAGCGTTTAAGTGAACGATTTGTTGAGAGTAAACCCATGTCGGAGTGCGGCTTCCCAAACTTTGTCGATATCAAAAATCTGATTCCCACACTCGTTCACATTCCAACCTTCTAAACCATGAACTATCCCTGCAATTCTCCAAGCACTCATCACCCTTCTTGGCAACCAATTCTGTACATCAAACACACACCAACATTAGAATACAAAATTCGGAAAACGAAAGGAACAAACTTAGGACAACAATATTGCTTTTGACGATATGTATATCATCATGTAACAGAAATCGTATTTTGTACAGACCAAATCACTACAAAAAATGGGACAAAAAGTTAGCGCCAATCTAAGGGGTGTTGCAATAAGTCCTTAGAAGGAAGTTAAATGACCTAACAAGTTTTCTCTAAGACGTTTGATAGCTTAACAAGACTCAAAAAATAAATAATTCTTAACTTTCTTATATGATAATTTCATATGCGTCATTAAATGCAACTCTCTTAAATGTTATAACTAATGAGACTTCATCTACAACACAAAATATAACAATCAACCATTGTAGATCGGACGGTTACGATTGGGGATAAGGCAGTTGCATTTTTAAAAAATTAAAAATGAAAATACTCCTTAAATGTTGCATTTGATTTGCATTATATATATGTGTGTT